TATTGATTCAAGAGCATGATGCACATATGAAGTGTCGGACAAACGAATATTTTCTGTGAATCCGCCTATGGTATAGTGCATACACGTGTACGTACGCTTACGCGTACTTATAAATATGTACAATTATGTCACATTGATGTCACGCGACAGTCTGAAAGAAAGAGAGCAGGTTTTTTTGCGAAGTTGTACAGAATATAAAATATCTGAAAATTATACACCATATACATATAATTTCTTTAAAAAATTTACATTTTTTTAACGAAAATTTATACTATAAGTAAATTGAAACATAGAAAACAAAGGATTAATTAAAGCCAAAAACATAACGTTGACAAGCGAAATCTATAATAAATTCAATATTTCAGGATAAAATAAATGACTTTCAGGATAAAATAATAAACTTCTTTCTAGCAAAATTAAAGAATATAAAAATTAGATAAAAAGAAATAACGCGTCTATCCATAAATCAACGAGTAGATTGTTGAATCATGACTTTAATTGGGAGACTATTAAGATTCTAGACAACTTTATTTACGAAAAAATGCTATCAGAAATGGTCTACAAAAAAAATAAATGTCTCAATTTACAGAGTGATACCTGTCTCAATTTACAGAGTGACACCGATACTTTGCATCAAGCATATTTACCAATTATAATGACTTTAATTAAGATTTGAGTGCAATATATATACGTTTATTTATTTTAACTTTTATTATGTATGATTTATATTCGTTATTAATTTCAATTTATTGTAATAACTGCATTTTAAACGATGGTTCAAAACACTTATCAACCGTGTCGTATGACTAGTGAGGTGGTAGTTTTTGCACAATGAAGATGCACACATAAGAGTTGCATGCATCCTTTTTTCCATACATTTGTCATATAATATTTTTGACTTGCTATTATATGTTTATACATTTTGATTGTTGTGGGATATTGTTTGTTTACTTTAAAGTGTGTAAAAATCTCTATGTTTTGTGTGTCAAATTTATGAATTTTATAGATCAATATTCACTCTTCATACATTTTATAAGATTACATATGTATTATTTTAATATTGTCAAGTTCAGTTTTATTGAAGATAGCCCGAAGAGAGACAAAAACATTTAAATATATTCATTTTATTTTAGAATATTAAATTTGTTATAGATTTCACCAGTCAATAAAATATGTTTTTGATTCTAATTACCCTTTCATTTTCTATCAACTTACTTACATTGTTAATTATTGAAAGCCTGTGATTTGGTTTATTGTTATAATTTACAATTAGCAATTATACTTGATTATTAAGTTATTGAGAAATATTATCAAGAAATAACATTAATTATTAAAAGATTAAAATTTTGAAAAATATTTTTTTGAATGATTCATAAAAAACCGTGAAAGAAGTTTAGAAAAGTTATACTTAATAAAATATATATATATATATATATATATATATATATATATATATATATATAGAAAGAGAAAATTCTGAAAAAAAAAAAAATTAAAAGAATGGGAAATAATAAAATTTTAATAATATTCGTAACTTATATAATGAAATTTCATGGGATTTGTATTTGAGAAATTTCTTTTAATAAAGATGTATAAAATTTAAAAATTATTAATAAACACACAAATGTATTCTCTGGATTTGAATATTCACTAAAACAATCTTGGGCTTCTTATATAAAAAAATGTATCTATTTTTAATTATTGTTTTTAACCAGCGAAATGATAATGAAAATAGAGATTATTTTATTATATTAATTATTTAATTTATAAAAAGGAACAGATTTTAATTATACTTCTCATATCGACTAACAAAATATTAAAATTATAGAACATGTACATAATTTACATTAAATTTAATTTATGTGTTCCATGTTTTAATTGTTATATCTTAATTTTTTCAAAAAAATATTTTATTCCACAAAATTGAAAAGATATTGTTCAAAATTTTTTATAATAGCGAGATTGGATTTGACCTCATTTGTGGCAATATTAAAAATACAAGAATAAGACAAATTATATGTTTTCGATTTTGTTCCTGTATTCTGGTCTAGGGAGCTTTCCCTACCCAGATAAGTTGCCTCTCCCCTTCTTATGAGCACATATGATGTCATCGTGGGGTCATTTGTACATGAAGGGGCTACCGGCATTTAAGTATGCGTTTAAAAGGCGGAAACGTGATTATATAGAACCAACACAGATGCACATACGCAATAAAGGTTTCTGCTTCATAATAATTAGAAAGAAGAAATTCGGTTCATGCCCAATCAATTTTGCCCGAAAAATTTATTTTAAATACAAAATCTTAAGTGTAATAAATGTAAAATATATGTATATTTCAAAATTCAAAGTTTATCAAATATAAAATTTCCTAATAATAAAAACAGAGCTTCTTACAAATTTAACGAAAAATTTAACGATAAATTTATCTGATCCAAGTTATCGATACAATATATAAATATTTTGTCACATTAATATAATACTTAAAATCTCTTTCCAATAGACTAAAAATATATATTTAAGGGGCAATATGCAAACCCTTCTGCGAATCATTGGACATACGCAAAGAAGGGTGAGGTCCTAAGTGAAACGAATGAAGTATGAGAAAAATATCGATAGCTAATATTTGTAAAAAAAAGAAGACGCAAGAAAATAAAAGATTGCTAAAAAAAAGAAATTCATATTAAAGTTATAAGTAAGAGAGTGATATTATTATTTAAAAAACTAAAAATAAAAATAAATATAAAGAATTAATTAAAATAGTAAAAAAAACAGTTCAGATATATACGCATGACACATATTTAAATATTTTAATAATTGTATTTATTCTTTTCTTTTTAATAACGGAAAATTTACATTTACATTGTTACGTTATATTATAGCAAGTAATAAACTTTTTACAAATAAGAAGAAATATTTATGGATTTATGCGTCCAATGAATAATAATACTTCTAACAAAGAGTCGCTTAGACACAATCGAGTTATTGTATTCTGTTTGAAGCAGAAAATGAATAACTGCCATAAAACTGGGTGAAGTTGTACTCGAGAATCACTGATATTTAAAAATGCTCAGCAAGTTTACTAAGAAAGAAATCAGTTATATAGATTAATTAAAAATGGCAAACTAATTAAAAAAAATATAGGAAGAAAATAATTTTTTTCTGTATTCACATAATAAATGTGATAAAACGGCAGCACATATAAAATATTTTTACATTTTTGCCATTATGAAAGCTATTATTTCTCGTGAAAATTAGATTTATATTTTTTAAAATTTATATTTCAATCAAAAAAAGAACATTTCTCAAAATACAAATTTTTATTTTACTTATTTTTAAATATGTGTAATGCTGTATAATGATAATTTCATTAAATTCGAAAGAGAATTTCAATTTTTTTAATTCTTCGTTATCAATCTTATTTGTAAGATATTATTCGCTTTTAGGGAATTTCTTTACGGAAATATCCTATGTAATAAAATGGAAATGTTGTTCCCTATACATGTAAACTTTGACCTTATTCTCAGGGACACGCGTTATCTCTTTTTTATAGATATTTTTACACTTCCGATCTTGAAGGCTGCCAATCTTGCTAAGAATTAATCTTAAACTCTTTCTCTTTAAATTCGATAATCAAATAATATATTATTGCATCATATTAGAACTATTTTTTCAGATTTTAGTATCCAATACGTGAGAAAGTAAAAATTTCGTAATGATATTCTAAATTTCTTTATAATCTTATTTCTTATTTTTGTATTTATAATTTTTAAGTTTAATTAATATTAAAACCAAGCGAGAGTCGCAAATAATATCGGCGTTTAGAGTCCCGGAATTACAAACACAATATTGGCCAACAGCTGACAGTAAAGCCACTCGTTACGAGATATAAGCGCCTTTAGCTGCGGGAGCTCTCGAGGGAGCTTCTTTCAGTAAAACGATCATTTCGCAGAAAACCGTCGTCCCGCATGAACGAGACGTTTTCTCAGGAGGATGCTGCACCCGCGTATTGTTATAAGGCTCCCTTATTCAGGCGTATGGTAGCCTAAAACGACAAAGAGCCAGCTGGATCGACCATCGCGCGGTCCATTCCGCGTACTACGAACTCAGCTTTACAAAGAAATCAAATATTAAACATTCTCTTCATTTATATTAGGAAAGAGAGCAGACTTTCTATATTATTTTTTGCACTTTTCCCTTCCCGAAAGTCCAAGTTTATTTCATTCTAAATGCAGAAAGTATGAGAAAGTAATGCTCAAACGAACAAACCTACTTTTTTATACCTTATACGCTAATACGTATACTTAAAACATGCCCATTTAGTTAACATTAATTGCATGTTAACTGCAGAAAAATTATTAATTTACAAAATTTAGATAAAGAGTTGTCTCACAAGTATAATCGGAATATCTCTACATGTTCAATCCAATTTGCTCGAAATTAACATTTGATAGGTCAATTAATTCACATATAATACCGTGTAATTAAATTGCGAACGAGAATTCCATTAAGATCTTCATGATAATTAAAGCTTTAGATGCATTTGATATCGTGTAAAGTTTAATTCACGCTATTACGCTGGAAAAAAACTCAAAATTATTATTAATATTAAAACATTTTATCATCGCACTAATTTTTGATGCCTTCTTTAACATTACCGATAGATTTGAAACCCATTATATAACAATTGTCGTATCCCTCTCTTTGTATGATAACAAATTTTCTACTGCAAATTTAAAGCTAGTATTTTTTTCACTCAGACATTATATTATATTTATGGAGTTCTCGTTTTAAAGAAGCTTTGTTTTGTGACAATCAGTTGTATCTCTAGTATATATAAAATAATACACACACACACACACACACATTCTCTGTTTCTCTCTCTCTCTCTCTTTCTCATCCCCTCTTTTTCCCTCTCATTTTATTACACACCGAAAATAAAGAATCGCGAGATAGCGAGGAGTAGTGGTATCAGTTGACGCAAAGGAAAATACGATACTCACCGAAATACTTGTCCGGCTCGAGACCAGAGTCCTTGTCCAGGCCACATATGACGAAGTAATCTGCGAACCGTTGCGGATGTTGCTCCGAGCCGCGCGCTATTCCCAAGCTCCCGTTCATCTTTTCCGGGCAACGGGGAGGATCTTTTAAGTCGCACCACGATAGCACGCGTTGCGGTTCACTTCACCCAGCACCGTCCAACTTCACGAAATTGATTTCCACATCGCGCACCGTCGACGCACCAGACTGTCATTTCACGCCGAGATAGACAACAGCTGAGCGAGCGCGCGCGACGCGCATGGAACAGTCCGAGAGTCCTCTCTCGCTCTGCGAAGCGCAGCGCTGCAGAGCGCGGAGTGCGGGTCTACCCGCGGATGATCGATCTTTAACCGCGGCGTCTGAAGTTGACCGCGAGGCGCGCCGAGCGCGCCGTGATTTGGCGCGCGATTTAATTTCCCGCAGTACGCGCGCGGACTGTTACAGGACCTGACGACCTCCATATTCCAGTATTCCTGTAATAAAATGGAATAAAAAAATTTCAGTACAACTATATCGAGGCCATAGTCTTGCAATTAAAAGCAATCAAAATTTGTCAATACAATAAAGCAAATTTCAATCACTTATAACTAAAAAATTTAACTATTGTAGTCTCGGCGAATTAAATATTTTAGTTTTGATCAAAAAGGTATTTACTTGAGGATATGTAAATAAATAAATTGACAAGTACTTCTCTGATCAAAATAAAAATAAACTCTGTTTCTTAAATGTGTATGAAAATATTAAATTTATAATTTTATTTAATGTAATAATTATATTTAATGTAATAATTGATCGATCACTTAAATTGTTATTTAAGAAAATATTAAATATTTTGCATATAACATATGATCGACAAGTATGCAAATTATGTTGATTAAAATTTTGGAAATTTGATCAGAGAGAATTCAAATCTCTCCCGGTTCGCGATATCGACACGTACCATCTGCGCAATATAGCACATACACACATGCGCGAGTCAATCATGTATTTATGAATATTTGTCGGTATTTGTCACGCTTGCCGGAAGGTTAGATCTCGATGATCAAATCGAGCCAAACCTCATAAACACGCGATACGAGCGGGGCGTTAGCGGCTCCATAGGATTTTCATCTTTTTACATAGAATGGAGGAGATCGACAATATAATAATTCACTCGTTGCGACAAATAGGCTGGTAAGTGTCGGTTCCACTCGCATAGACAGACATTTGCCGTTCTTTCCGATGGGCGGTGTTTGCACGTAATCTAACGTCGTACACGTGAGCTCATCTATGATAATCGCTTCATTTGGAGTTGTCAAATTACATATTATCTGCAACGAAGATTTTCAAATATAATTTATGAAAAGATTATTGCTAAAAACTTTATAGAAATGTTTCTTTTTTTTTGAAGAATGAAACGAGTGTACCTTTCTTCTTGTCAGTGTCCCTGAAAAGTTCTCACAAATTAAGAATATCACGAGACTCTATCTTGTCCGACAAATTCTGTGTAGTTTTTTTCGTTTTTCTCAAAAATATTAATGTTTTCAGTGACATTGAGGAGAGCGTAACAAACCTAAGTGGCTTTAATACTGAATTAGTTGTCGAAGCAACAGTGAGATGTTTAGAAGCGATAAGGCCAGGTTTAGGATTGTCTACCGTACTACCTGTAAATATGGCAGCACGTTTTCGACTGGGTGCTACTCTTGCACAAACATGCACGGTAAATGTTTTTCTTTTAATAAAGTTTCAATTTGAATGTAGCATAATTTATTTATCTGATCTCCATCAATTAATTAATATTTTAGGAACTTGGATACAGAGGTGACATTGGTTATCAAACATTCCTATATAACTCGGAAGCAGATTTACGAAGGGTATTTATGTTTCTCATTGAAAAACTGCCAAAAGAAAGTGAGAAAACTGTAAACGAATCCATCAGTAAAGTTGCTTTATTAGAAAAATCAGTAGCATCTGCAATATCACAAGGACTTTCGATACCTTGGTTACCATATTATTGTCATAAAAAGGGAGTCAGGAACAGAGGAAGAGCGAGTATCCCTTATGTATCTGTAAATATCGAGGTACCGGTTCCAAATATGGGAGATGGTAATGTAATATCAATATAAATTGGATTATATTTCTTTTTGTTAGCATGTCAGAAAACAATATCATGATATAAAGTACTATTATTAATTGCAGATTACAAAGACTATTACATGCGCTATTTACAACCAGTGCCTGATCAAATGCAAAATATTTCATGCTTTTTACCTTCTATGATATCGTATAATGCAAAAGCACTTAATGCTTCTTCGATGGATATTATGGAGCGCATAAGTTGGTTGAATAACCAACAATCTGAAAAAATTGCTCATTCTAGTGCACATAATATTGTCAATGAGCTTAGCAAGTTCTCATTAGAGAACAAGACACAAACTTCAGCAGTAAGTATATCTTTTGTTATATAGCAACACACACATACAGCAGAATATCTTGCAAATATTCAATATGACTTTTAAATTTAATTTTCAGAATTCTCAAGTAGAACCAGAATTTGCAACACATTCAGTGCTTCCAGATCAGGAAACATTAAAAAACAAAGCAAAACAGGAAGTTGAAATAGAAAATATGAAAGCAGAGTGTGAAACTCTTAAAGTAAATATAGAAGAAATACAAAGCGAAATCAAAAAACTAACTACTAAATTAGCACACGCGACGATCACTGGCCAGAATGAAGAAAAGGAATTAAAAATTAATGAAGAACAAAAGAAAGTTAAAGCAAGAGCATACGAATTGCTTCAAGATGGACCAGAGAACATAAAGAAATTGGAATGTGCGATTGAGATTAGCACAAACAAATTGATTAATTTAGCAAATCAATGGGAGAAGCACAGAGTACCCTTAATTATGAAGTATAGACAAGAAAGGGAAAAGCATTCCACAAAAGCTGTAAGTAATACTAAATTAGCAAGTTTAAGATAATAAAAATATTGTTTGTATGTTATAAATGCATAGATCTTTTACAGAACGCGAGCCAAAAGAAGTTAGATGAGATAAAATTATTGAAAGAAAAAGAGAAAGAACTTCAAGAGGAATGTCGAAATAAGGACCAACAGCATTCACAGTTGGTTGCGGAAGTTCAAAAACTTCCAAAAGAAGTAAATAGATCTGCATATACTCAACGAATCTTGGAAATAATAAATAATGTTAGGAAACAGAGAGACGAAATAAATAAAGTTTTGGCAGACACTCGTGAGATTCAGAAGGAAATCAATACCCTTACTGGCAGATTAGAGAGATCTTTCACCGTTGTGGATGAACTGATATTCCGAGATGCGAGAACGAACGAAGCTTCGAGAAAAGCGTACAAACTATTAGCGACGTTACATTCGGATTGCAACGAACTCGTAAGTTTAGTCGAGGAAACAGGCGCAACAATACGAGAGATTAGGGATTTAGAAGAACAGGTAAAATGATAATAGTAAAATGACAAGTGTACCTAGCGCAAGAATTTTCTATATTCTTATGTAATATTTATTTAGATCGATTCCGAATCCGCTAAGAATGTCGGCGCTAATTTGGAAAGAATAACTGCCGATTTGAAACAGATGAAACAAGAAACCGCTGCATTAACGGCACAATTACAAAATAAAGCCTCGTGATTGTTATGTATAGTGTGGTTGCATTTTACATGTTGTAATATTCAGGACCAGATAAAAATATATTCAATGCAGGTATCTATATATCTATACAGGAAAATCTATTTTTAACATTAATTGTATATATCAGAATAATATAAATGACTTGATTTTTTTTCTGTAATATTATATATATAAGTAAAATAGACATTATTTTGCTCTTTTACAGAATATAAATGAATATGATCAAATGCATCGAAGACCAAACATTTTTTAGCCGTACGGCTGGCAAGATATATCGCGATATTGCCTGCAAAAATCTTTGCGAATCTACTAAGTTGGCTGCTGAAAAACGTGCCTTGGCCTGGAAGTCAGGCGCTAGGCTTTTATAGCCTCGGGCCAAGTGTATAATAATAACACATTAACATCTCAATGCTCAAAGGAACATCATTTGTTACAAAGCCTAATAATTTTTTAGCATCGAGTTCAACTTTCATATTTCACGCAGCTTGAAAAAGATCTGATTACAGCTGTAAATAAAACAAATGCTGAAACACATCACTTTTAAGTAAAGAACATGTACAAAATATAAGATGTGTATAAATAATGGTAAAATCAATTTTATATACTTTATACTTATTTTCTCCTTGTACAAATTATTTTTATGAAGCAAGTGGTATGTGACACTTGCATATATAATATTGCAATATCAATATGTGAAAAAATAACACTGTTTTGTTGGTTTTTCTTTTTTTTTTTTCATTTTAATCCTTTGTACATATATTCTATTTTCTTATAGCACATACTCTTCAACTTTTACTTTTAACATCTGGTGGTACATAAGACTCTACAGTAACCAAATCTCTTAATTTCTTTTGGCTTTTGTACATTCTATGCACACGTTCGTCCGCTTTGCGTTCTTTTTCCTCTATCCTCTCTATTTGTAATTCGATTTTTTCCTCGTTGTCGAAGAAAGTCAAAAGTTGTTCTCTTTCTTTTAATTGCTTCTTTATTTTTTCTATATTAGCTATTCTTCTTTCGTTTTCTATTGCTTTTATTTGCATTTGTAATATTAAAGCCCTTGTTTGTTCCCAATTGGAATAAATCTAAAACGGAAAAATTAATTGATTAAATATCGAATAATTGATTGGAAAAAGATTAAAAAAAAGTTTTCTCCATTACCTGACACTGTTTAGAGATATCCTCCTCAGCTTTCTCTTTTACAACAGCTCTAATAAGATTCTGCATTGTTTCAATTAAATTTTCCTTAAGATTTTGTTTCTTTTTTAAGAAGAATAACGAGGCATCTACAAGTTTGAACTTTTCAATATCTTGATCTTGAAGATTATTGTTGTCCTTTGATATTAATTCAAATACTTCTTCATGAACTATTTTGTCTTGTATTGTCTCCAACCATTCCTTAATCAATTTCAATACATCATCATATTTTTTATATAATATTAAACCTCTCAATTGACAAGTTCTTCCTAGAGCATCCGTTCTATGCTTTCCTTGAAAACTTAGAGTTTTGCCAACTAGATCTTGTGGATCGGTGAGATCAAAGTGATCGTCGAAATAAGGATTTCTGACATATCCTACACGTATCTTTATTTCCTCCTTAGATGTATCCTGTGGAATTTCAGGTTTTTTCCAATCGTCAGGATTCTCCAGATACATATGACATGCATAAATGCACAAAGCATTGGTAATAGGATGGCCCGCATCTTCCTGCAACATGACCAAGCTCGCTATCTTTGCGGCAGAGGCATAATCTCTCTTCTTTAGGAAATGATCCATGAGCACATTGTAGTCGAAATAATCGGGGAAGATGCCATAGTTGAGTCTATCACTGAGTACCTCGTGCAATTCCTGGATAAAATTGTGCTGTAGGAAATACCGTATCGTAGCGTGATGCGTAGAATCGAGGATGTTGGTCGTTTCCGTGGATTGTCTGAGATTGTGCAAAATCTTCATCACTTCCTCGATGTAGGTATTGTCGTTGACGCTGTTGACGAAGATGTCAACGTCGACGGCGCTCACTTTGCCCACGCTCCCGTATTTTTGGTCCAACTCGGCGAACATCGTCATCGGTTCGATCTTTTGTAATAACGGCGACTCCAATCTACGATTCCACGCTTCCTCGCAGCGATACGCTTCCGATAAAAATGATCTTCTCTGCGTCACATTCTTAGGTCCGCTACAAACGCGACAGAACCTGTGACTAAATCTAAACGTTTTCAACATTTCGTTTATTTGTTATTATCTCTCACACTGTGTAATCATAACACTATATTAGTATTTTTTTGAGGTTATATTATACAGAACACCGGGTGTCAGAGTAGCCAATCTAATGATAATAAAATTTACTAAGAATAGCTCTAACATAATATTGGTATCATTGAAATTTATAAACGTCTGCGCAGAAAACTAATTCATTTTGAATTCTGCGCGGGAGCGTCCCGTTTGATCACGTTGCGATTGACCGCAGCCAATTATATCGACCTGTGCCTAGGGTAACCAGCAACGATTAACCAATCAGAGAGTCCTATTTTGAATTGGCCAATTGGCGACGTGGTCAATCGGATCCCATCCATTCTGCGCAATGGCACCGAGTAGGTATGCATAATGGTTTTCTGCGCAGACACCTTTACGTACGCATGTGCGCTTCCAACACTGGCGTATGCATGCGCATTTCCAACACTGGCGTACGCATGCGCAGATGTTAGTAAAATACTTTTTTACGTTGCAGCATCAATTGCATGAAAGTTTCTTTCTTTTAAAAATACCTTCAATTTCAAATGTTCTTTTTTTCATTTTTTTCATAAATCTTGTTCAATAAATCTTTAAATGAATTATTCATGAAACTTGTTCAATAATATTTTTACGAAATTTTAAGAATAGGAATCTTTTTCACATAATATAGTTAATAGATATCTTTTCCAGTTAATATATAGTTACATCAATTACAATATGTATTTACAGTAATTGTTTCAAATAACTTATCGAGAACTTTATTTCCCTCTTCATTATCATATTTAACATTAAATAAATTAATAAATCATAATCCCATTATTTTTAATAAATTTCATCTTCTAAAGCTTGAATTATATTATTTTCTAAGAAATATGATATTGCATTAATAACTATCTTGTAAACAAATATAAATTCTAATAATTTGAGCTAATTTATCACATAAAACTTTCTTGTTTCTTTATTAACAAAGTTAATTGGCTTAATTGCTACTAAGTTACATACTGAATATGGTGCTAATAGATACTCACCACAAGGATTAGTACTTGACGAGAATCACGAATAATATTACAAAAGTTAAAAAATGTAATATAACTATTACTTCTAGCACCATATAATAGATCCTGCTTTAACAATATTTTTTATTAATAAAAAATATCTAAAAATCTACATTTTGAGAATAAAAACCTTAAAAATATTAGAATTTTATCATTAAATTAATTTATTTACTATTAATAATATCAATTATTCGATTGCTATGTTGTGCTAATAATTTTTGACTTGTTTTAAAATCAACATTCTTTAATAACATAATAATTGCATGTTTACAAGAATAATTACATGCATTTAAAGCTTTCTCAATTTCTTCTTGTGAACAATCTGTTACTTCACTAACAATTTTAGCTGTTCTAACTTTTAATTTTTCATTTGTTGCCACCAAATCAACCATTAAATTTTGATAAACCTTTCCTGATTTAATCATTAATGTTGTCGATATCATATTACATACTAATTTTGTTGCTGTTCCACTTTTCATTCTTGTACTTCCTGTGACAACTTCTGACCCTGTTTCAATTATAATTGTTTCATCAGCAATTTCTAACATTTTTGAATTTTTTGTCATACATAATCCAATTGCTAAACCATTAATTGATTTACAATATTTTAAGCCACTAAGAACATATGGTGTTCTTCCTGATGCAGCAATTCCAATCACAGTATCTAATGAATTTAAGTTATGATCTTTTAAATTTTTAATAGCTAAATTACTATTATCTTCTGCACCTTCAAGTGGCATTCTAATTGCAATATCACCACCTGCTATTAATCCCAGAATACGATCATTGCCAACATTATATGTGGGTAACATCTCTGAAGCATCTAACACACCAAGTCTACCTGATGTTCCTGCTCCAATATAAATTAATCTCCCACCTTTTGTAAAACGATCAAAAATTAAATCAATCACCTTGGCAATGATTGAAATTTTATCTTTAATTGCTCCTGCTATTTTTGCATCTTCATTATTGATTATTGTTAAAATTCCAGTTGTATTTTCTTTATCAATTGATAAACTATTTTGATTACGTTGTTCTGTATCAATCTTGGTTAGATCAATTTTCATGTTCATTTTCTCTTTCTTTAATTTATAATATTTGACAGTAAATAAATAGTATCCAATAATAGTTATAAATACTAATGTTAATAGAATTTTATAACTGAATGTTGATCTTTTTTATAAAATTTTTTTACTGATTTACTTCCAGTTGTAACAATATGCATCCAAATATCCAAATATTATCACAGCTCATCTATAATTGCAATTATATGTCCAATTAAATAGAAACCACTAACGTAATATTTTCAATAGTCATTATAAATGATGCTAAAATACCTGATGGTCCAAACATTGAATTTAATCCAAATATTACTTCCCCTTATAAATAAATCGTTCCAAAAAATCCATCCAATGTATGAATTGATGTTATAAATGATTTAATTCTTGATAAAGTTATCGCATAAATCATTGGCTTTCCAATTCTAAAAATAGCTTCTTGTATCTGTTTACATAATAAACGTTTTCTTTCTACTAATAATCATAAAGCAATTTCTGTTACAATTTGAAAGAGGATGCCAGAGTCGAACTGCAACTGAATTGTAATCAGTGAGAGATTGTATCAGAAAGAGATATGAGATTGTGGGTCACACCCACACCATCAGAAAACCACATCTTTTTTCTTATCATGATCAAGCCCCTCTATAACCTCATGGTCAAAATTTAAGATTCCGATCCGTTAGTCCTGCTTCATGGGTGTTCCTCCTATTATATATTACAAAGATAATCCCAAAAAACTAAACCACAATTCTTTCTTTTATTCCTAATGCTGTACCATCCTATTAATAAAAATTAAACATACTCTCCTAATAGGCCATATATACACAATCCTCTACCATTCACTCGATTAGAGAAGTTGGTGAAAGAGCGATAGGTTATATAAAGTAGAATTGATATAAAAGAGAAAGAAAAGATATAAGCTTTATAGGTCAAAAAACCGTAAAAGATAAAGTCGGTTGACGGCACGTTAGATACTAGATATAAAAAAAATTGTTTATATAGCGCTATACACAAATTTTTACTATTGTTTATATAGTATTGTACATAACCTCTCATGATATTTTCTGTATTTAAAAGTGCGCTTTATAATGTTCGCGTTAATGAGAGAAGTGATTTTCTGGAGTTTCGATGACAATATAAGCATAGAAGACTCGGATTTTGGTGCATTCAAGTAAAGAAATTTATTATTAATTATTATTTCTAATAATTTTTTCACAAATTCTTGCTCTGTGTTTTGTCATAAATAAATCTATTGCAATAATCGTTTGTAATTTTTTTATAGATACCATGATAAACGAATTGATGGCACGTATGAAGAAGGTAAAAGATCTTACTGTCAAGAACGTGGTATGATTTACGTTCCAGAAAACAAAAAGGGAAACAAGTTGAAATATTCTATTAAATATCTGGAGGTAATAATCAATCAAATGTTCTAGATAAAGTTTATAAAGAGAATATACTTTAGAATTTTTATTATTGTATACAGGATCAACTCAGAGATAATTCTGTAATTTATTGTCAATGGTATAATGATTCTATTGTACAATTAATGCTCAGCAATGGTTTGTTAGTACAAATACAAGTTTGCCTCTTCAGTGGTGATATACAAGAAATTCATTTTGATAAATATCTTGTAGGAAAGTTATCAGAATTTATATCCGATGGTAATATATTATTTTATTCATCAAAAATTATTCACTACACAAAAAGATAATATTGTATCTCTCTTTGTTCACAGTTATTATTACTAAGAATCATTTAGTTTGTATATACAATGATAATCTAGTGACACTGGTATATTTTACAAAAGCTAAAACACACATCTTTGACAAGATCAATAAATTAGAACCTAAATTAATCACAACAGATTTATTTGTACCTAATGGACGCAGACTCGACAAGAAAATTCAAGTGAACAAGTCTGCTGACTTGGTAAATAATCTCCAAATAATTTCTAAAAATTATAAATAAAAAATTATATTTGATAGCCAACCTGAAATGAATAAGAAATTTATGTACTTTTATAGGTATTAATTTGGCGGAAATCTACAATGAATGAAGTTTATCCATGGAGTCCTGCTATGAAACAATATCATCGTGCAAATATGCATCTGTTTCGACTTACAGGGTATGAAATAAAGAATATATTTAATTATGCCATGCTTTTTAAATCTTTTTCATCTTTTTCAACAAATATACAAGATTGTTTGTCTATTTCATCTCTTTCTGCTATATCTTTTGATGGCTCTATAGTTTTTGTTTTTTCTTCAATCTTTATTTGCTCCATTTTTTTACATAATTTCTTATGTTTCTTTACGTACAATTCCCATGAATCTTTCTTATACTGAGGAATCATTGATAATTCTTTAGCAATACTTCTGGTAATCTTTTTTGGCAAATCCCATGTGCCCTTACAATATTTTTTTATTACACTTTTTACACAATGCATGTAAAATTTTAAGAGGTAATGTAATATTATATAAAAAAAATTATTTTATATAAATAATTTATGTTTATGAATTTTTAGTGCATTTGAAATTTTATACAAACTTTATATGTTCCCCATGGTGAATGTTTGTCTTTTTTAGCATCATCTAATATATGACCGTTATCATCTGTGATAAATTTTGTAATGACACAGTGTCTGCTTGGCAAACTAGGATACCATTTAGGAACTTCCCAATTCCGTAATCTTTTTGATGTGAATGTATCATCTGTCCAATGACCACGCCAATATTGAGACATTTTTATACAACTCGTTCTCTTATAACATTAATATACACCAATTTCATATAACTGTTACTTTAATTATTACAAATATTTTTGAAATGTCAAGTCATGTGGTTAGTTATGCATGTCGCTATGCCTGTTGCCATGGTCATGTAGACCTATTATGCTTATATATATATATGTGTGTGTACATATATACAAACACTATGATATGTGTGTTGTGTACAAAAATATGTAGCTCTAATTATTGATATTTTCAGAACAAAATTAGAATTGTTATGTTACATACGTACTGAGTTTGATCCTTTGTGTATTACGTTTGATATATGTGATGACAATATTATTCATTCTGTAGAACAAAAAGTTTCAAGGAAGGTAATTGTTGTGTGTAGTTTATAATTTTATCCTTTCAATTTAATCTAGATTTAATTATATATAATAATTATATTTAAAAAGTATTAGTTTTTTATTTAAAAAGTATGTATATATAAATTATTATATATAGGGAGAAGTCACTGTAGAGTGGCGTACATATGAAGTTTCTCGGCAAAATAAATTAAAAAGAATTGCCGTAATTTCTGTACCACTGCCGACTCATACAAGTTGCGTGAGATTCTCACCTCATCAGGAATTATTGCTATTATGTTGTATTGATGGCACTATTATGATATATGATCAAACAAAATCGACAACCACCAATGTAAAGGCTGCATTTGTAAGTTATATATTATTAAATAGAATGTACATTTTATAAATAAACTATTTTTTTTCTCTTTTTTAAGATACCTACTTTAGCTGCTTGGCATAGCGATGGTATAATATTCGTAGTGGGTAATGACAGAGGTCAGTTTCAACATTTTGATATCACTTTAACGTGTATCAAAAGCCAGTCATTGAACGATGAAGCAACACCAGCGAATATTCTTGACTTATCACCATATTTCAAGTACGAACATAATAAGATAATATATGTGTATTTAAATTGCAATAAAATCCAATTCATGAAATAATTATACAAAGTAGGAATCAGCATACCTTGCTACATATGGAATGGAACAGGAAAAGCGACACGAATCAAATTCGCTATTACAACAATAACAATGCTTTATTCTTGTTACTTTTTGAACGGTAAGAATCATACATCATTTCATGATAACATATTTATATACAGGCTGTCCAGAAAATCGTACTTTGGGAAATGATTCGAGATTTAAAAAAAGGAAAAAAACTGTAAGTAATAGGAAATAAATGGTTTCCGAGTTATAACTACTTTTATGTTAAAAAAATCGTAATTTTTATAGTCCGCTTGGTATCTCTTTCTTAAACTTAAATTTAAAAATTAAAATTTTAAAATTTTAGTTTTTAAATTTAAATTTAAATTTTAAATTTAAATTTAAATTTAAATTTAAATTTTTAAATTTGAATTTTTAAATTTGAATTTTTAAATTTAAATTTGAATTTTTAAATTTGAATTTTTAAATTTGAATTTTTAAATTTAAATTTGAATTTTTAAATTTGAATTTTTAAATTTAAATTTGAATTTTTAAATTTGAATTTTTAAATTTAAATTTTAAATTTAAATTTAAATTTTAAATTTAAATTTTTTAATTTGAATTTTTAAATTTAAATTTAAATTTTTAAATTAAGTTTAAAAAAGAGGGATGCCAAGCAGACTATAAGTTATGATTTTTTAATCATAAAAGTGGCTATAATTCGAGAACTTATTTCCGGACCTATGTTTATATAGCTTTTTTCCCTCCTTTTTGGGTCCCGAATCCCTTCTCGAAGTACTGCGAGCGATTTTCCGGATACCCTGTATAAATAAATTATATAACAATTTTTATTATGTATCAACAGAGGACCGATAGGCGTTATTAAGGTAATCGAAGGCGACACTCTATCCGGAGACGAACTAGTCAGAAGATATTTGTCCGAATCTCGGATAGAACAGGCAACCGCCTTATTGTTGTCGATGAATTGGGATACACATTCACATATATGTATGCATTCACTTAATCAAATCTTAAATTATTTATTCAAGTTGCCACTAACAACGGAGCGCGAAGGTAAAATAAAATTTCGTTATTTCTATGATGATTATCTATTGGTAAAAATTGTAAGTAGCTAAAAAATATATAATTTTATGAATTTGAAACAGGTTTGATACAAAATGCACTAGGTAGCTTTCACGTGCCTATTAAACCGATAAGTCAGGCCGTTGAAGAGGAATATGGGGATGAAATAAGGGATTTAACAAGACGATTCTTTTATCATTTATTAAGGTAACGCACGTTAATCAATACAATATTATAATATTGTGTGAAATAAATTTATTCTAATGTCCATAAACTCTGTAGGTATAGAATGTTTGAGAAAGCCTTCAGATTAGCTATTGATTTAAACGATCATGATCTCTTTATGGATATACATTTCTATGCTGTGGTTTTAAATGACATAGAACTGGCAACTGCAGCTAAAGAAAAGGCTGAGAATATTTTGAGTAGATCAAACAGTTGCAATGATTCGCGTAAGAATTACATAGACAATATTCCGAAAAGAAAATTATAAAATATGATACAGCTAAAATTTTTTACAGATTCGACGTGTTCGAGAGCATCGTGTTCTATATGCTCTGATTCAAGCAATGAGAAAGGTGAAGAAGAGGAGGAGGAAGAGGAAGAAGAAGAAGATGAAGAGGAGGAAGAAACATATAGCGAAGAGAGCGAGGATTCTCGGAAGGAGGAACGAGCTAGTCTAAAACAGTCGAAAAAGCACCATTATAGAAAAGCCTCCAGTCAAATCCCACCCCTACCAGTTATCAAAAACACACTGTCTACATCCTATAACAATATTTCATCCATTAATAAGACTGATTATACTCTAATACCTTCGCTCTTGGATACTTCTAACAGTATTTTAACTTCATTTAATCACTCTTCGCACGTTTCGAATCCATTTCTAGCATCGACCTCTTTCAACAAATCATACAATATACAAAATTTTATATCAGGTAACATAGCGAACATCAATAATTCTCCAACGTTTAATAATGCACCGGATGATTTAATGACTACATCATTCGGCAGTGTTTCTCTCACTGAATCAGACGTAATGGTCGATGATCAATCCGGCGAAAATTTTGACACTGGATCGTACGACAAGTCGTTACTTAATGAAATACCATATTCCTTCAATGGTTTTGTCACCAATGCGATGACAACTTGCACGCAGGATGATAGCTTCATCTCAACTCCCTTCAACAAACCAGTGTATGAATCCGAAGACATTGAGTCGAATTATTTAGCAAGCTCGTTAAATAGTGCCGTTGATAGTAATATTATGTCAACATCGTTCAGTACTCGAATTACGAGTGCTCCCGTTTCGTTTAGTAATTCCTTCAATACAACGAATAACAATTCTGAAACAACTTCTTCCATGTTGCAAAGTGCAAAGTCCTCGAAGATAACTGATAAATTATTAACCAGAATTCTCATTGACGATGCTCGTCTGCCTCAAGCTCAATTACCTCTTCCAGACAATATCTGCGACAATCTGATGTCCACTTCGTTTAACTATGCCGATAATACAGCTCCCGAAAGTAACGAAATTACGATTCCTACTAGATTTAGTGGCAATGATCAAGCCATTAAGTTACAACAATTTGCAACGGTGGAAGAGAAAGAAACAAGCATCGATATTCCACCACCACCTTCTCTGACAAACTCTCTCGCTAACTATCTTCATGGTCTACCCAGAAAAAATTATCCTCTGTCCAAAAGTGCTCCAGGTTTATCGAACATTACGGATGAATCGATACACAAGTTTCCCTCGAGCAAAGCAACTTGTGTGCCGTCGCGCATTTTACAGAAACCGAATTCCACATCGTCTAATGTATCTCAAAGTCAAAAAAACCCGTCTTTCAAAACTTATAGATACAATTACGATTTAGATTATGTACCGTTTCACGGAGTTTGCGATGACACAAGCTTGCAGCATTCACAAACAGTCGGCAAAAAAAATTTTCTCTCGCAAAATTTTCATCCTAGCTATAAATTATTCGAGAATAGATATTCGTCGAGGTCTTTCCAAAACCTTAATATAAATAAAGAAACTAGAATATTTTCCAATATACCACCTTTGCCTATAATTAATACATCTACTACTAATCCAACGACTTGCTCCACGTGTCCGTCGTTCACTGATGTACCAATAAGCTTTAACGAAAAGCCAAAAGTGAAGTTCTCGGATACTGTCACTCACATATTAGTACCTGGTACAGTAAGTATAGTTTCTATTTAACAAAAATATATATCTTGTATCTCTAAAATAATATGTATCCTTTTTTATGTGTATAAATATATGTATATATATATATGCATATAGATTCCAGTACATAGGCAGAAACGATCTGCACAAGCACATGTAACCGATCCTAAACGTGAACTAGCTGAAAGTCTTCCACTCTGTCTGGGTAATGAAGATTATCTTAAAGATTTTCAACCATTATCTAGTAAGTATTTTACATTAGCAGGTGTTTCATGTTTATGCGTGTTAAAATGTAATTTACATAAAACATTGCTTTATTATTTTAATTATTTTTTTTAATTCCTTGCAGAAAACGATATAGACGAGAAAGTAAAAGAATCTCCAAAATCTGATGACAGTACAAAGATTAAAGTTGTACATTTTGGTTTATTGTAAATTTACAAGTAGAGTATTAAGAAAATTTATTAGAATTAATTTAATAATAAGTTGCGAGGAGTATTTGCACATACCATTTTATATGTATGTGTATCCTTATGATAATACAATGACAGAAACAAGATAGAGGTTGTCAATTAGATAATCCAATCACAGAAAAGAATACTTTTCTAATTCATATTTAAAACCTGATCTTACTTCTTAATTTTTTCACAACTGTTTTTTGTGTTAAATAATCTTTTGTTACATATTGTGTGTGGTGCATACATACATACATACATACACACACACACACACACACACACACACACACACACATATATATATTTTATATTATATATTATTAAAGAGCTAAAAATCTAATATCATAAGCAAAATTAGAAGCTTCAGATATAGATAATATATTTCTTCAGATATACACACATATTTCATTTTTAAAATTTGATTCAAAATTTTAAGCAATATGTAATGAAAATAAAATATTCTCAAAAAGAATACATACTGCAATATTGTTGTATAAATTTTTGCATCAATTTATTTTTTGCAAAATAATTTTATTTTTCAAACTATAAAAAAAGAGAATTATGTACAAATATTAATCTTTTATATCTTAATTTTATATTATTATACTTGTATTTTTATATTTATTGTTTGTATTTATTGCTTGTACTTTTATAAATTTTTTTACATAAATATATATATCTCAAAAAATAGAACAGAAAAGAATTATTTCTTTGACTAATTTATTGTTAATTCTTAAGTTTCTGTTGTTTTAAAAATTTATGTACCAAGAAAAAGTAATTTTATAATAGAAAAGTATCTTTTTATACTTTAATATATGTACATATAAGAGCATTGCATTTGCATCAATTACAATAATTTATATTTAAGTTTTCTGCTTTAAGGTACTTAGTGAAGATTTCAAATCAAGTAATTGTTTGTCTGGTACATATCGCTTCTTCTCTAACGTAGGATCAAAAGCATTTATATTAAGGGTAACACCTTGTGGAAGGGATGCTTCTAATGCTCTGATCAATATGGAATATTTGACACTAGATACCTCTAACATTTGTACATGTCTTTCATAAATTTTAAGCTCATATTTAGATAAAACTGCTGTTGTTCCAGTTTTATATTTTTGAATCTTCCATTTCTGAGGTGGTAATGCCCAGCTGAAGGAACATAATATTAGAAAAATTAAAAAACAATATTTAAATAAATTAATGAAAATTTACCTGTTATCTATATCAATTTGCATAATATCTGCCAATTTATTGATGAAAGTTTGGTAGCATTCGAGCACCGAATAATCGTAACCCTTAATTTCTATGTTTATCGTAGATAAAAGTGGTAATTTCGATTTTTTTACCTGTACAAAAAAATTGAAAAAATAACGCAAAACACAAATTATACATATATTTTTTCAAGTATTTTTATAATTCAAGAATTTAACCTTTAAATAATCAGGTTCGTACAAGCTTCCAGTGTATAGTTTTGCCGATAAAGTTTTCCTTATGAATGGATGTTGTTTAATCGGTATAATCTGGAATAAATGCAATAATTAAATACCATTATAACATATAAATAATATAAAAACTGCATTTTCATAGTTATTTAATTCAATATGAAAATTAGATAATTTTACCATCACGAGAATATAACATACCTGTTTAATCAGATTTAAAGCCATTTTCTATGATGCGAAAGAATAATGAAACCGATCTTCAGAAAATTTTTAATTCAAAAATCTAATCGTTAAAAATTGTCAACTTTTACGATATTCTCCAATTGATCAGCTGATTGCTTCCGTCCCTCGTTCCTAAAACCAGAGCTAAAACTGACGTTGACGATACTTGTGAACTAGTCGACACTACAGTTTGTGATGTGTCGTTTCATGAAAATACTATTCTAAATAAGTTAACCTAGTGTTTGCCAAATTTTTACGTGCAAAATTTATATTACCGTGATATATAAAAGATTACTTTATAATCTTAATTGATAAAAAGTATTCTTTGTGATAATTTAAATCATTTTATGAAAAAAAGACCATATAAAATTATGTAACATATTGAAAGAATTCTAATACCTGCCACCTGTCAATATTTCACTTGTGCTAATAATATTCTGCAACAAATGTTAATCTTGATATTATCTAATTTGCTAAAAAAATCATGGACATCGAGACGGAAAATGTAATAAATCTGGTATTTCCAGAAAGTATTCCAGGTAGAATTAGTCTTACTACTTAGAAATTGTTAATATATTGTTGAATATTGTTTGTGTATGTGCGTTGCGTATATGATTAATTATATTTTATATAATTAATATTTTAGAATCATGGAAAGAAAATCCTGAATTTTATCAATACCTCTCAAAACTTGGTAGCTTTGATGTCGATCAGCTGAGTAAGGATACTTTTATTAGTTTTTTTTTACATTTAAATGCTTTGCATTACAATCACATTTGTTTTATCCTATTCTAATTTTCCACAGGTAAAGAACCTGATCATTTGTCTGATGAAAAAAATGCAGTGCTTCAGACTACACAAGAATTGGTTTTTGCAAACTACAAAACTTTTATCCAGACAGCAGAGAGTTCACGAGAGATACTCAATCATGTAATCTCAAAGACTACAGGCTTAAAGAATGCATAGACTTTCAAAATAATTATACTAACAAATTACATTATTTTTCTTTTAGTTTAATGAGACTGAGAGTCGTCTTGACAAGCTTGTACAGAAAATTCCAAAATTTGTAGAAAAGTGTCAATCATTTTGTGACACTTCGAAGGATATTAATGCGCATCGAAGATTAAATAGTTTAACGCTGACACGAAATGCAGAACTACTCGAAATTCTCGAAATGCCCCAACTAATGGAATCATGTTTGAGAAGTAATCAATATAATGAGGCATTAGAATTGTCTCAATATGCCCGTCAATTAGGAGTAAAACATGGAGACATTCCTATTATTTCGGTATAAGCTTAACTAAACTTCTTTAATACTTCTATGTAATACTTCTTTGATTTAATTTTTTTTATCGATATTTCAGTCTATAGTAGCAGAGATTGAAAGTAGCTGGTCGGGAATGGTAGGACAAGTAGTCGGATCTCTAAGAGGAGATTTACCGCTTCCAAGATGTCTTCAGCTTGTAGGTTTGTTACGGTCAATGGATGCATTTACAGAACCAGAACTTCGTATCAAGTTTCTTCAAGCCAGAGATAGCTGGCTTCAAGGCTTATTAAATGCGATACCGAAAGAAGATCGTAAGAGCGTTTTATTTGAATTATAAACTACAATCAAAAAAATTATTGATTTAACATTGAAAGAATCATTGATTTTTTTAATGCTTGCAGCTAATCTTCATATAACTAAAACGATAGAATTATCCAGGATACATCTGTTCAATATAATAACTCAGTACAAAGCTATGTTCAACGATGACGAATTAGTACTTCCCGGCCGCGACTTGACATTAAATGAATCCGCGATATTTTATCATTGGCTAGAGGAAAAGGTAAATAAGAAATAGATATAAAATCGACAGACAATAATATAATTTTTTTCTAGATATCGCAATTTCTTGCTACATTGGAGCAAGACTTACCAGGCGTAACATCCATAGATTCCATTCTAGGCCAGTGTACATATTTTGGATTATCGTTTGGTCGAGTAGGCGTCGATTTTACTGGTCGAATATCCGACATATTTGTGCGAGTTATTGGTGAAAAGTTTGAACAAGACATTCGTAGGGCAACCAAGAAATTTGAGAAAGACATGGAAACGTTTACATTGATCAACAAAACACAACGGCTTGATATAAAAACAGAGACTGCAATTATTTCTGTAAGTATAAAATTGTATCTTTTGAAAAATACTATTGATGTACAACTTACAACTATCTCTTGTCAGGAAAATCCACCTGAACAATTGGTAGAATTTTATCCTTTAGCTGAATATTGCAACAGAATAATAACAGCGTTCAATGAATTGAGACTCTGTGCACCAGTGGCACTCTCTACCTTGTGTACAAAATTGCTGCAGGAATCATTGCATAATGTAGCAAAAGCTATGTTGTTATTTTACAAGCAAGAACAACAAGTGAGTTGTCTTGATGTGATTGTCTTTTTGTCTACAAGTAAATTCTATTTTCTTAAAAAATGTGTCTTACAGGCTTTTACAGCAGCAGAACGAGAGAACATGATCAAATTTACGGAATGTTTGAGCGAACAATTAATTCCTTATATACAATATTGTATACACTTGATCTTTCCACCTATTCAAATTGCAATGCATTTAGGAATATCAGTCAATGTACTCCAGAAAGAGGTATATATAAAAAAAAATATGCATAAAAGAAAGATACATGTGTAATAATATAAAATTACTTTGTAGGAAGTTATATATTTGAATAAGCAGAGTATATTAGAACCTGTGGCTGTACTGTTGCCTATTAGAAAAGATCCTTTAATCTCTAAATTATGTGTGTCTAATATACAGCCATTAACATCATATGCCAAATCTTCCATTGCAACAGGGATATCTTTACCAACAGAAATTGTGGATTCTACCTCGAAATCTACTGTACTTGAAACAGAAGAAACAAAAGAGAAAGAAGTTACTCAAAAGGGAGCGATATCGAAATACGATGTACAAAATTTTGTTGATAATATAAATCAAAGTATTTAATTGTTAATTTTTGAACACACAATTGCTTGCTATTCTATATATATATATATATATATATATATATATATATATATATATATATATATATATCGGATGTAGTGTAAATAAAAATCTTTTTACGATTCTAGATAACTTATTTTTAATGTAATGCATACACAAAAGGGAGATAGAAATTCAATAGACGAACCTGCGAGAATGCAAAATACTTGAATCTTAAAATAGACGCAAAACGATTAGGCTTCCACCATAGATATCGAAAATACTTATTCCTTCATAGACTCCTCCGTGACTTGACTCGGCTGAGCAGTTTCATTTTCATTTTTCTTCTTTTTGAGTCCAGAGACGATATCGTCGATTCTTAGTAACAGGATAGCAGTCTCGATTGCCGTTTTATATGTCTGTAATTTTACAGACAACGGCTCCCATATACCATATTCCTTCATATCAACCAATTTACCCGTTTCCCCATCAATGCCCCAAGTGGTTCCTTCCGTCGCATGTTTCGCACGCAATGCTGTTAGAGTTCTAATGGTATTTGCACCGCAATTTTGCGCGAGAGTCCTGGGGATGATTTCTAAAGCCTGTGCAATTGCTTTGTATGGCCATTGTTCCACACCGGCAAGACCGGCTGCTTTCTCTGTTAACAACCGCGATACAGCCATTTCTACTGCTCCGCCACCTATGAAACAGAGAATTATAATTACATTAACACAATTTTGATAAAAATAAAATAGTAATTATTTTATGCATACATATATACACACCTGGTACGAGTTTCGGATCGATGAGAAGATTTCTGGCAACATGCAGCGCATCTTGTAAATTTCTTTCAGTTTCGTTCAAGACATCTTTGCTGGCTCCTCTTAGAATAATGGTACAAGCTTTAGGATCCTTGCACTCTGTGATAAAACAGAAATAATCATCGCCGAGTTTCTTGATCTCGAAGAGACCAGCACCCGTGCCAACATCCTCTTCCTTTAATTCCTCTGTACGATTCACGACGGTAGCACCGCAAGCACGAGCGATTCTATTAATATCGCTTTTTCGTAGCCTGCGTATTGCGGATATGCCGGCTTTAACAAGGTAATGCTGAGCGAGATCAGATACACCTTTTTCTGTTATCACGACATCCGGTTTCACTGAGATAATATCTTCGCAAATCTTCTTTACATGTTCCTCTTCTAACTCTAGGATCTTCGTAAAATCGGTATCCTTCATTATTTCTATATTCGTCTGAGATTCGCCTTTTTTGTATTCCAATGGACAATCCAGCAATACTATTCTCGGATTCTTGATGTAACGTCTCATTTTTGGATGTGTCACATCCTTATTAATCATTACACCTTTCAAGACGGCACTGTCTTCTATTGTACCACCCGGTATTTTTTCTACCTTGGCATAACGTTTGATGTCAATCTCTCTTCTGCCATTTTCTTCAAGCATTACCGTATAAACGGCGTCCAAAGCAATCTGGCAAGCTAATTCGGACCAGCGTCTGATAAATTTAGTGCCTATACAGGAGTTTATCACCTGAATTAATTTCTTTTTATCATTGCAATCTAAATCAATACTGATCTGCTCAAGAATTGTGACCATATCTTCCAAGGCCTGACGATATGCTCTTATGATGACAGTAGGATGCATGTTTTGTTCCAAAAATGGTTCAGCAGAGCCCAAGATCTCACCCGACAGAACAATGACTGACGTGGTACCATCTCCCACTTCCTCATCTTGAGTCCTGGCAATTTCTATCATAGATTTTCCAGCAGGATGTTGAACAGTGATTTCACGCAGGATCGCATTTCCATCGTTTGTCATTACAATGCCACCCATTGGATCCATCAACATCTTTAGCATAGCTTGTGGACCCAGACATGTTCTAATGACATCAGCAATTGCCTAAAAATGAGAAGCAAGATTTGTTAAAAATTAATATTGTATATATTCTATATATCTTTGTGTCATATTTAAATTATATCTTATAAATCAAGATGAGAATACTATCATTTTCATTTTGAATTTAAAAATCAAGTTGTAATTATGTTATAATTGAATTTACAAATTATACATAAAGAGAAATCATTTACACCAAATCCATTTATACAGATTATTATTAAATGTATAAATAATTTTTTTACTATTTTTTATGAAATTTAATGTTTATTAATAAATTATACATGTACAATTTAATTATAAAAGTAATCTCTATTCATTTTCAGCACTTTCATTCACCTTTCAGACAAGTTTTAGATTTCAGATCAATATAAGGTTTGACTTTAATCTTTACTTTCGATGAATTCATTAAATCATTTTCTTCTTTCTCTTTGATATTTCTAAATTTTCTATTAGACAAGGCATATTTATTGATTAATATAAATAATAGCCTGAAGATACTATGTTTGATAAGTATGTCAGATGATATAATTGCTAAGCTCCAAGTGCTTTTAATTAATTTTGTTATATAAGAAATTGAATAAGATAAGATTTACTACAGATTACTTGAATCTGATGAAACAGTAATTGCAGATCGCTATTATGATCAATTACTTAATCTAAATAAGAATTAGAAAAAAAATGATTCTTTACAAAGAAAGATTAAATTCTTGCATCTTGATGCTCAAAATTGATATGGCAAAATTGACCAAAGATACATTATTGGAATTTGGCTGAATTGTTTTATGCTTCATCTGACACTCATCAGACTTAATTCCTTCAGATTATTATTTCCAATTACAATATATATTATCTGACAGAAAATTTAAAAATGTCAAATAAGAAAATGGCTTGATGAATTCATTGCACAAGTAAAGATTAAATTTTCTATTAATCCAGAATCTACAATTTATCTAAACGATCGAAAAAAATGAAAAATAATGGAAATTATTTTTATGATTAAAGTGCACATGTATTTGTTAATAAACATCGAATTTTGTAAAAAATAACGTAAAACTTATTTATATAGCTAATATTATAGAATCCTATATGTATAAGTTAAGGATAATAATAGGCAATAATTATTAAATATAAATCGATTAATGATCGCCATATGATTAGATTCTTGCCACTCTGGAATTCACACATGAGTGTACCGGCAATCGTACTAAGAATACCTTATAAGGCAATACTTGACTGGCTTACAAGTTAAACGCCTCACCTTGGCCGCTAAAATGTTCTCTCTCTGCACTTTTCTGCCGGTATCTCGCTTCGTATTCTGACCTGCAATAATCAAAATATTCGACATAATTGGAGGGATCAGAAAGCTCATACAGTGCGAGATGCCAAACGACAAATTTAAAAGACGATCGAAATTTTTGATCGTGACATTTTTTTGACGCATGCGTTTATATCGGACAACACTCGTGTGTAAAGTAGATATAACCTTTATAACTTACTCAGAACCACAATTGGCGCTGCTCCTGGTCCAAACATTGTATTTATAGTTTTATTTTTCTTTATAATATTATGACTCTTTTTACAATTATCGACGCGTATGCAATCGCGACTTTCCAGAAAAAAGAGAGTGAGAAATACCGAGTATATATTTTCGGAATGAGGGTGAATGAAAAGCACACCAGGGCGTAGAAAACGGAGACCTTCGGGCACGAATAACGCATTTAATAGAGTGCAATGCACACTACGGATTGCGGACTCGCTTGCGATTGGAATTGACCAATCAGAGTAGCCGGCCGGCAAATTGCTTTGTTCTGATTGGAATTTCAACCACAGGTCGCAACGGGTGGCACTCGATTACCAATTGGCCAATTCAAAATAGAGCTCTCTGATTGGCCAATCGTTGCTGGTTACCCTAGGCACAAATCGATATAATTGGCTGTGACCAATCGCAACCAGTGTTCTGATTAGGGATTCCGCGCGCGCGCATATGCGACTCTGCACATGCGCGACTGTGAAATTACATTGGCCACATTCAACGGACTCAACAGTTAGGCAACATCACTAAAATTTCCGATGTAACTCGACGCTGATTGGTCGGACCTGAAAGTAGAAACCAATCATATTCGATTGCTACTTAGCGGTTGAGTCCACTGAATGCGGCCATTGTAATCTCACGGTCGCGCTAAAGTCACTAGATTAACAAAGGCCGGTATTCATAGTCCGATCTTATATTTAAGATCGTCTTAAATCTGCTTGGAGGTTGACTTAAGACCTCATTCATCCAATCACATAGCTGCGTAGCATTTTAAGCTCGAACTTAAGACGATCTCAAATATAAGATCGGACTATGAATACCGGCCAAAGTACCGCAATTTTGATTTCAATAAGATAAGATGGAGCAAAAATGGTGTCCGATAGTGCACACTTTGTGTAGCTATCTATACTAAGTGCAATTTTTCTAACCTTGATCTTGGTTTGTCCTGTGTCCTGTTGTGTGTGAGGTGAGAAAACTCCTTCTGTTGCGCAGAAAAAGAAGAAAATATAAAAAATGCCAGGTTGTTGCGTGAAGAAATGCAACAATCGCAGCCTATATCTATACTATCGGACGCCATTTTTGCTCCAGCTTATTTTATTGAGATCAAAATTGCGATACTTTGTTAATCTAGTGACTTTAAGATCGCCTAAAAGCAGACTATGACAAAAAAGAGTGAAAACTATGAACAACTTTGTTGTTTGTTTTATAGATTTTAAAAATGGCTTATCGTATGCTACATATTTAGAGTTGTAAATAATTTGATAAAAAATGTTCAATCTGTAAACAATAGTAACGCAAATGAAATATATCATTGTCTCTAAATCATTATATGTAATTAACATGTAATGTGTATTTAAAGTTAATTTATCAATTTAACTCTAATAAAATTATGAAATTTTTTTCAGGTATATTATTATTTAATATTGTTTAATTTATTGCTTGTCAGTCATTCACATTTATTAAAAATAGTCACTTTATTAAATAATGTGAGAAACTCTATATTTTTTGCGAATAGTAAGTAGAACTTTTATGGATATAGCATTTTGATAATAGTTTATATTTACAGTAGAAAATAATTTGTATTTCACTGTGCTTTTGTTCTATAGGACCTGAAGATGAATTATGAAAGGGTGTGACAAGTATCAGTAATGCAGGAAGATGCAGAGGTAGAACAAGAAGAGTAGTGAAAAGAGAGAGCTCCTAAATAAGGAGCAAATTATTGGCATGGGAAAAATTCCGATACAATTTCCTGCTCTAAACACTCCTGTGTTTAGAGGAAAAGAATTAATTCAACAGCAAAAACTGCTTGTAAATCTTGAAAGAAAGCAAAAACTTATGGAACCACAAAGTCAGATCAGACCAATGCAAATAAAATTATTGCTATTGGAATGTGGTTGGACAAGTATTACAATGGATGGCAGAAGCATTGAATTAGATCTTATTGGAAAAGGTTAATATTTATGCTATTATTGGATTATAATGGTTAAATCACACACATACAAAAATCATGTGATACGATGTCTATTTTCAATTTTTTTTTTGATGTTTCAGTTCTAAATATTAGAATCTTATATAATTAATATCTTTGTTTTCTACAGATACATTTGAAAGTTTTGAAACCTGGATTTTGGAAAACAAAATAACTTGTATGACTGATAATTTAGCATGTAAGACTAGAATCAGTTCATTTATAGTAACTGGAAATGGATTAGCTGGATTTGCATTATCAAAAGCCAAAGCATCCCTAAAGACTGTTAAAAATAGGACTGGTCAAAGACTAATGTATATTCCTACATATAAGGAATACACTGAGTAAGAAAATACTTGTCAATACTATATAATATAAAATTTATTTCTTCTCTTTTAATATCACTTTGTATTTTTCAGTGTTACATGATTTCTTTACACAGTTTGAGAATATAAAAATATTTGTAAAGAAAATTCATGAAGGATAATGGGCTTGTTTGCCATCATGCGATAAAAGCATATTGCGAGATAATTGGCATAAACGATATGTATGCCAAAGTACAAGGAGGAATGTAAAAGCATTCTTTATTGGTTTATTACAATAAGTGTGAATATAAAGTATTTAAAGGCATATTATACTTTTTATTTAATTTATATTGGAAAGAAACTTTTTATTTATAAATATATATATATATATATATATATGTTGGACTTGTTATATATGTTGGATATATATATATATGTTGTAAAGCTAAAAAAACGTGGATTGTGTCGATTAATTAATTAATTGTTTTATTTAATTATCAATTTATATATGTATATTATTAACAATGATTTTTTGTTTACTTAAACTTTATAAGGTTGTACATAAGAAACAATCTTTTTTATTTAGTATTTCAAGCATATTTTCATAGAACTTTAATTTAATTATTATATTATTAAAAATATTGAACAAAATAAAGAATTAAAGCTGGCTTTCTCTGTAGTCTCATGGCAGATTATATCAATAATCATACTTTAATTATTGCAATATATCATGAAACAAATCAATATATCAAATATGCTATATCAAATATGTAGTGTAAATATTTTAATTTTTTCGTATACGATCTATTTTTTATAATTTGTTCGTATTTTTTATTCTATCGATGTTTTCATAGTGATGCACCTTGAGCATTTTACTTCATATATTTGCAATAAAAATATATTAAAGCAAATTATTTTGCAAATTTATTATTCTAATTTTTATTTAGAAAGAATAAGATTTAAAAAGACGTATGAATTTTTTCAGATTTTTTTACATATTTCTATTGAATAAAACGCATCAGATAAAACTGACTTTTCTGTACATTTTAAATGTGCCAAAAGATTTGCTCTTTATTCCACTTACTGCAATAATGTACACTAAAAATGACAGATCTATATTAAAAATGATAGATCTATATTTAGTAGTTGAAAAGAAAGAGAGAAAAAATGAAAAGTGTATCTAGAGAATTTAAAAGAATAAAAAACAAATCTAAAAATAATAATACATAAATATTAATATTATGTATTTTTTTCATGAGGAATGTGGGGCGCACATTTATGCATTTATTTATTTAGATGAGATTTACTTCAGAACACATTCAGTATTCAACTTTTATTTTATTTTCTCTTTCTTACGATATATAAGTATAAGATAATTACCTGCAAATGCTATCATTTTTGTATGCTTACAGTGATACAGAAACAACATTACGAGTACTATATTTACAGATAACATCTGTATAATAAAAAAAAGCATCAAAAGTCTAATGGTGAAAAAAGGGTAAATATTGTAGACCAACATAAGTATCAACCAATTATTCCACCGCTCTGTTTCATTAGAGTTGCAATTTTCTTTTATAATATCACGAATATTATAAATAAGATAAAGATTTCAGTACGTTTCAAATAAATTTATATATTTTATGTATGTAATACTGCGCACACATATTAAAAGGTGATAATATCGCAGTTATAATAAGATACAATCCTGGCAATGTAGCGATGTTTGGATTCTGAAAATAATTTAATTTGATTTATTTCTAAGAAATGCGCACAATACTTGAGAGCAAATTATTTTTGTGTCACGTATTACCTGTGTAAAATTCCACACACGGTATCATATTGTCTGCGGTATATGAAAAGCTTCATCGATGAAATAATGTGATAATACAATTGAGATATAAGAAAAATAATATAGTACTTGTAATGAATAACGTTAATGTATATAATACATAAATATTTTATATTTTAATTTCATGTAATCGAAATGTGATAAGACACTCATGATTACTTTAAAAATGTGTCCACAAATATCATGTAACTTCAATAGCTGCACATTCGTCAAATTAATCCTATTACGTTAAATGAATCACAGCAGCTTGTTTTAATTTAATCTAACCTAACCAATTATATTATATGCTACTCATTAAAATGTGTAAAACTCTACGTCGCACATTTAATACGATTAATATATTACGTAATAAAATGTAATAAACTAATGAAATAATTAAATATTATTTTTTAAAGCATGATACAATCCAGGCAGCATACGCTTGTGATTACATTCGATATCCAAAGCCACTGAGAGGTTAGATTAGGTTAGATCAAACAAATTTATCGTTTAACAGTTGGCAACCCTACGAGATAGGCTGTCTGTGCAGCACTGCGCGCGCGTATACAAAATTCAAATCGCTTCTAGCATAATCATCTTCACGCGATCGACTTATTTGAATTGCACCGAATCGAATTATGATGCGGCGCCGATTTGTCCGAATGTAATTCGGGACATCGCGATGCTGTATAAGCGGCGAATGAGCACGAATTGTCACGCAAATATGATAAATCAAATCTACTCAGGCGGCTGTTCCACAGGCCGCTCCTCCTCGGGACAGTTCGCTCGCCTCGGGACGTCCCATTCCGATCTTGATGCACACAAATTCAAACGATATCATCAGCGCGAACGCGCGACACTTTATGCGGCACTCCCGATACTCGCTCGCATCCGATAATCATCATCAAGGGCGCGAATAACGCGACGCAACTTCGCTCCATCTTCGCGATGACGCCATCACTGAATATCGTCAAAAATCGCTGTCGCGCGTTTCCATCGACACACTATGAAAGTCGCGATCATCCTTGAACACTCTCGACGCTCGTTCACTCGCGATATTCGTTTAA